CAGTGATGGGATGGTAGTGTGTGTGGGGACATGTACAGTACGTGTGGATGTGTTGTGTGGCTCTTTTTCGATTCATGTGTGAGAGGAGAGCGTCATTCATACGATGGACGTGGGAGAGCGAAAGCTTCTTTAGCCAGTGGTTAGCCACATGATGCACGCACCCACTTATCCACATGTCGCTGGGGGTGAGTTGTGTCCGCCCGACGAGTGGGCCGTGAGTGACGTCCGTCGTGATGTGTGTGCGTTGGATTGGGTCCATCCGTGTGTGTGAGGGAAAGGGGTCTTTTTCGCAGACAGATGCCCACGCATTCATTTTTGATAGAGGGGAGAGCGTGGCTCTCTTTCGATTCATGTGTGAGGGGAGAGCGTGGCGCGAGAGAGGAGAGCGAGAGAGGAGAGCGAGAGAGGAGAGCGAGAGAGGAGAGCGAGAGAGGAGAGCGAGAGCTTCTTTAGCCAGTGGTTAGTCACATGATGCACGCACCCACTTATCCACATGTCGCTGGGGGTGAGTTGTGTCCGCCCGACGAGTGGGCCGTGAGTGACGTCCGTCGTGATGTGTGTGCGTTGGATTGGGTCCATCCGTGTGTGTGAGGGAAAGGGGTCTTTTTCGCAGACAGATGCCCACGCATTCATTTTTGATAGAGGGGAGAGCGTGGCTCTTTTTCGATTCATGTGTGAGGGGAGAACCTGAATGACACATCATCAGATCAGAGGGCATGCACTGGTGTCGCCCGCCTCTGTGTGATTGGGTGCTGACCTGTCGATTTGAATGCTGCGCAGCTGATCTATGTCGGCCTGCAGCGCCCGGTTGCCCTCGGTGAGGCTGATCGATAGACAAACACGAAGGGAGAGAGGTATGCCGTATTGAGGTGCGTTGGCCTGTCGGTTACGCACCTGGCGATTTCCTGTGCCTGGGATGTGTTCTGCTGCGTCAGCGACGCCTCCCTCTCAGCAGCAGCCCTGATAGGGTGAAGAACACACACGGACACACACACACACAGTTCCGTCCGATTCATTGCGGTGTTGGTGAGTGAGTGCTGTGTGGCTGACTGACCTCTTGTGTCTGTCAAAGTGATGCTGCAAATGATCCATCTCGGCCTCCTTCTGCTGCCGGAGAGACCTCTCGCGATCGATATTACTGAAAGCACGGACACACAGACGGTGAGGCGCTGCGTAGGCCCTGTGTGTGTGGATACCTGGTGAGCCGCTGGTGCTGTTGGCTGAGCTGCTGACGGTGGGCCGCATTGGCTCGACGCAGATCGGCCTGGAGCCGCTCGTTGGCCGCCAGAGTCTCAGCGACGGTCTGCTCGCCCGCCACCTGGGCCTCACGCAAACTGCACACAAACACAAGAACACAGGGATGGACAGCTGCCAACCTTACTGGATGCGCACAGCTGCACAGGTGATGCATGTGTACCGTTCGATCTCCCGACGGGCGGCGAGGGTCTCCTGCTGGAGAGCATGAAGCTGCTGCTGAAACTCACGCCTATAGTCCGACACCACAACCACAGTGGTGAGTCCCCCCTTCCTTCGTTCTTTTTCCTCTCACCTCGACACTTCGCTTTGCCGGTCTGTGCGCATCAACTCAGCCTCGAGCTCAGCAACCCTGACAAGACCAGACACACTATCACTGTGTGACCACACCCCGTCAATCGCCTCACCTGGCCCGCATCGCCTCGGCCTCCTCTCCACCACCCACACGACCGTCGTCAACGACCCTGGCGGCTCCTCCATCGGTCTGTCCAGCACCCTGGCCAGCCAGGCCATCGCCGCCACCATTCCCACTCACACCATCAGGCGACAGCAGGTCGTCAGAGTCACACCCGATGTCGGGCAGCGGGGGCATGCAAGGAGCCATCGGAGGAAGAAGCGGCCCACTGGCAGCGCTCATGGCAGCACAAGCACCAGCAGTGATAGCCAGGCCACAGAGGGGGCTACTCGACGGCTCGCTGTCCACGAGCTCGAGGCCACCATCCGCCTCTCCCTCTCCCTCCCGCACAGATGGGCTGCCGTCTGCCGCAATGGATGGCGCTGCTGCGGCGGATGAGAGAGGGCCACCCGATGCCGCAGGAGCGGCCGGGGGTCTCTTGGTCTTCGGTCGTTTTTTCTTCTTGGCCTTCTTGCCGCCCTCGCCACGCTGCTGCCCCCCACCTTCGCCCTGCCGCTGCTGGTCGTCACTGTCGTCAGACACCTGCTCGCCGATGGACCGCAGAAGGTCCTTCTCGTTCCTGCGCGCCGCCGCCTCTTCAGCGGCCATCTTAGCACTGACGGCCTCGTTGGGCTCCTTGTCGGCTTGGCGCTTCATACGCCGCTCCTGCTTGGCCTTGAGTTTCTTTCTGCTCTCGAGCTTCTCACGCAGCTCCTCGCGCACGACGTCACAGCGACTCTTGGGCTGGTCCTCGGCGTCGCAACCGGACACCCCGTGCGACTCATTCAGCACGTCTGTCATGGCGTTCTGCAGCACCGCTGAACGACGAAGTCAAAGTAAAGGCGGTGTGCCATGCGTGTTCGTACGCGGTTGGTGGTGGCCAACCTACCGATCTCCTCGAGCAGCGTGAGTTTGGCCGCGGTGTTCTTTTTGATCTGCTCCGTGAGGCTGCAGATGTCCGTGATTTTGGCCATGGTGACCTGGCGGTCGATGCTGTCGATGCCCTTCTTGCCGGCCTTGGACAGAGCGGCCTTGTCCCTCTGCACCTGGGCCTCGAGGTCGTCGAGCTTGGTCTGCAGCGTCGCCAGCAGGTTCTCGATCACCTGCAGCCGCTTCTGCTTCTCAAACAAAGCCTGAATCATAAGCGCACAGTAGTCGGCAACAGACGATCTGCAGCGTGTGATCTCGTGTACCGCTAGATGCACAGTCTCCTGCTCCTGGCCTATGGAGTCTTGCTGGTTCACCACCCTGACGGCCTCTAATCACAACACAACGAAGGAGATAACATGTGTGTGATCTTGCCATTTCCCCTTCTCAGCTCAATTACCAGTGAGGGCGGTGCGCGCTGCGTCGACATCCTCTTGAGTCATGTTCTTGATGAAAGGAGCGTCCTTGAGAGCCTCGAGCTGTCCGACACAGTTGCGATACGTGGCCAGATCAGCCGTCGTCACAGAGAATGGGTCGTCGAAGCCAAAAATCGAATCAGGGCCGCGATTCCTGGGTGATAGGCTTTCGACATACAGCAGCAGCAATGAAGGCCCCTTTCTGGCGACTGTCTGCGCCCACACGAGAGGGCTAATTGGGTCATAGGACTGCACAAGGGCACGACACAGGCTCCGGCGGACTGGTGTAAACGGCCAAACGCCGGAATCCAGGGCTGACAGACAGCAGCAGACAGAGAGGAACACACACACAGAGGAGATGTGGGGAAAGGTGCTTCGGCTCCTTACATGTGTCGATCACCGAACGCCGAAACTTGTATTGCTTGTTCAGATCCTCGATCACTTGAAGGTGCTTGTAAGGAAACGACACGCCAGATGTGCTGGTATCGGCAAGAGGAACGTCTAAACGGGAGCCACAGGCAGAACATAACTGCACGGATATCCCCCCTGCCTCTTGCATATACTTGCTTCTGAGGTCCAGCAGGAATGGTGGGCTGCTCCTGATCTCCTTCTGCTCGGCCCGCAGCCCCTCCTCCCTCTTCTCCCGTGCCGCCCTCCGTCGGTCCTCCTCAGCTGCGTCAGCCGCCGGCGGCAGGCGGGCGTCATCGGCCGCCCACTGACGCTCCTGGACCTCACGCGCGGCTCGGAGCTCACTCTCACACTCTTCGTGGGCCCTGGCGACGGCGCCATGCACCAATGACGCAAAGTTGCCACTCGACAGGAACTGCTGGCTGATGAGCTGGCCCAGCGGGACCCGTGCTGAGGTACAAACACATGGAGCAGATTCGTGTACGCGACGGTTGCTTGGTGGCTTTAGGTACATGAGAGATCGAGGTCCGATAGTGTGAGGTCCTTCAATGTGGATTGGAGGAAGGGCTCATTGGTCTTTGCGGTGGCAGGCAGATCCATTTGCCTGAAGGGACACACCGTCGGCCGCATGCACACTCGCACACAAATCGGTTCACGTGGCCTACTCGAGAGTGCGTCGATTGGGGTTGGTCTTCAGGCCAGCCGTCGCGGCGGACATGACTGTGTCCTCAACGACGGGCAGCGACAGCTCGCCAACCGAGCAGAAAGACAGAACGAGCCGCGTGCACGCGATGGTGCCGAAGAGGCGCTCCAGCACTCTCTGCGGACAAGAGAGATGCTAACAGAGGAGGGATATCAGCAAGGCTGTCTCAGTGTGGTTAGTGCTCTTTCAGACCTGCAGTTGGTCGTATCGATCGGCTTCGCTCTCAGTCTTGGTCAAGATCATATTGGACAGACTCAGAGTCTCGAAAGACCTACCACACAGGCCCTGCAGGCGATACGGCATATACAAGTACAGCCCTGTCTGTCCCATGGATTCTCCTTCTTCTCGACGCCCCACCTTGAGCAAGCTTAGGTAGGAATTGAACGACGCAGCACATCCACAGACCGTCAGGCACCTGTACACACGCATCACACGGCCTCAGTGAATGCTCCGTTTCTGTTGTGCGCTCATACCTGAGTGTCGTGAAGGGCCTCTCTTTCTTGTCGTCCCTCGTGTCGGCCGTCTGCCCTGTCTCGGTCGTCCCCTCGCTGTCCTCCGTTGAGTCTGCCGGCACGGCGGCCGACGATGTGCTGGCGGCGCGCGTGACGTCACGCGATGATGACGGTGGTGGGGAGACAGTCTCACTGCTGCTGTCGCCCTTGCCGTCTCCCTCTGGCCGGGCCTTGAGCAAGGCACTCAACCGATCGATGAAAGCAGGGCTCATATTGGCATTAAGCATGGATAGCTCGAGAAGAGAGGGCAGGCGGCCGATGGCATCGGCGAGTTGGGCGCACTCGTCATCAGGCACCTGAGTCAAATCCACACCTGCGGCACACACACCTTGACAGTCAGCGGCAAGTGCGCGTTCTTTTATGGTCGCCTTACCCATCAGTTGAAGCGTCATGAGTCTGTCGGCCTTCTGGAGGAAGCCGATGAGGTCGCTGACGTCATCGGAGGTCGCTAAGCACTCCCAGTAGATCGACAAGTCCAACATCATGTCGGGTGAATACCTGACAGCAAGGATGAAGCCGTAAACATGAGTAAATTGCTGCCCGTCATCCCTTCCCACCAACATACCTGGCCAATGCCGCCGCGAGCCGATTCTGTCTGCTCACTGCGATCGACGCCTGTGGCACATCCTAAATCACACAGACACACACAGGACCATAATAAAAGACTCCTACATGTCAGATGGATGTGGTCATGCTTACACATCGCGTAGACTGCTGCATGAGGCGATGAGCACGGGTATGAGGCGCTTAGTTGAGTCCAATGACCCAAAGAGCCGGATGGAATGAAGGACTTGCTTGTCCGACAAACAACGCACCAGGCGATTCTGACAGAAAGAGAGAACACTCGTGAGGGGCCGTTCATATATAAACTCTCTCTCTGTACCCACCTACTCGTTCTGCCGTCGTACAGCCTCTCTCTGAGGGTCGTGCTGCGATGAGACCCACCGATCGATCGCCAGCTGCTCCAACGAACACACACACAGTGGCAAGCAGTGATCGATCGGTCTTTATGGTGCGGCAGACCTTGCGACGGCGAAACTTGGCGAAGAAGTCCGAAACCTGCAGCCGAGCACAGGTGTACAAGCTTGTGGGCCTGCGTGTTGTTGGCACTTCATTCACCTCCTGTATGACTCTGTTTTGTGACGCCGCCGTGGGGGGGACGGACAGGGCAGAGAGGTCCACCTGCACATGAAGGGCGTCACACACAGCAGCAGACACCAAGGGGACCGCGGATTCGGTCATCGTTGGCCCTCACTGACCTGCAGAACACATTCGACGATCGGGTTGTCTTTGCTCTTGCCGCTCGTCAGCTGCCGATCCCAATAACTGCACACATGGAGACAATTCACTCGAGGCGCTCAAGACACGAGTGGCGGACGCACCTGGCGAGGCTGTCCAGGACGCCCATCACGATGCTGACGGTGCTGCCATCGGGGGCGGCGGATGCGAGACGTGCAGTGTCTCGTGCCACAAACCCTGACAGCTGGGAGCACATGAGCTCAGCCAGGCCCTCACACGAAGCATACTGAAGACAAATGAAAACAGGAGTAGTGAGTCTCCATACAAAGATGTCGCATACATTGATGTGTTAGCTGACTGACCGTCTCTCTATCGATAAGTAGATTGATCAGATGCATGGATTTCGATACGATAGATCGTCCATGGCCTGCATCGTTGGCCAATCTGCGGCTCTGCAGGATGCTCATAGCCGCCGAGAGGAAGCCTTGCTGTATAAGATGCTCACAGTAGCCCGATTCTGAGGAAACACAGACGCACACAAGACATCATTAAGCGGCATGGACCATGCACCATTACTCACCAGCCATTGCCACTGGCACGATCAGAAAGAGCAAGACCATGTAAGCCGTCCACTGAGCGGTGGCGCGGTCCTTCAGCAATGTGGCTATCTTGCCCAGGGCAGCGGGGCTCGCTGACACACTACGGCACATGGACGCCAGCGCACCTGCATCCACACCCACCCACACACGCAGCGGTGGCGCGACGAATCGACGACCCGCACCTGCGTCAGAGGTGAGGAAGAACATGATGCCTATCAGCTTGTAAGCCCTGCACACAATCGCCAGATCACCGCTGGTGACCAGGGTCTCGACGAGAACGTCGATGTGGCAGAACATGTGCTGCTGAAACGCCCCAAGATCCTCAGCCGTCACTGAGCGATGCACACAACACACACAGATATATCCACAGCAAGATGACGGACACATTTGCCCGTTCACCGCATGATCACCTGCAATGCTCTTGCTGAGCAACACAGCGGCCTCCCAGACATGGTCTGGTAGTGTCCGCCTCCCCAACACTGTGTCCACCAAGACACCATGTAGCGGCAGCCGCTCCACATCAAAGGGATACCCAGCCTGACAAAGCCGTCTGAGGAAAGAGGCTGCCGCAGACTGATGTGATGGGTTGCTGCTGTCCTTGAAAAGGGCGACAATGCAGCCCGCGAGGCCCAAAGATCCCTGCTGTCGATGCGCCTTGTCCTTCTTGGCCAGCGAACCCACGAGTCCCTTGACCGCTGGGTCGTCATCCGGCAGCGAGGTCGTGAGTTTCTCCAGATGGCTCGCGAATGGGCCGATGTCACCGGCCAGCAGAGCATCAGCAGCGAGGGACATGATGGCAACAGCATCAGAGCCCGACGTCTGGCCCTGCCGCCCGTTGGCCGTGTGTTGCTGCTCGGGTGTGATGGAGGAGGGGGTGGATGGAGGGAACGGGCGAGAGGGACTCGCTGGTTGCCGATCTGCTGATGCAGCTGCTGCGGCGACTGGCGATGGGTCGATAATGGAGTGAGTGGTGTGTTGGGCGGTCTGCTGCTGCTGGGTGCATGCGAAGATGTCGAACGCAGTGGAGGGCTGACGGCTACCGCCCTGACAATCACACCCACACATCACACACATATGCACACATGTGGGCATGCACCTCCCTCGTGTCTGTCTGTCTGTCTGTCTGTGCATGTGTGTGCGTGTCCGTACCGCTGTGGCGTCCACAGTGATGTCACCCCCTCCGGACCCACCGCTGTGCCTCACCCCTTCCATCAGCGCCGAGCCGCCTTCCTGCGGCTGCATAGGGACGCCGCCCACAGCCGATGGGTCGGCTGCTGGTGGAGGGGTGGCGGTGAGCTGCATGGACTGATCCCGCTGGGCGGATGGCTGCTGCTGATTCTGGTGTGTGTCGACGCCGTCAGTGGGCATCGATGGGCGAAGGATGCCGTTGGGTGGCGAGCCCGCAGGGACCTCATCCAGCAACTGCCGAGAGTTAGCTTCGTTGCTGTGAGTCGCAGGGCTGCGCTCTGCAGGGGAAGATGCAGGTAGCGGGGCAGACGACGCACTATCAGCTGTGCGGTCACCAGGGCCGCTCCCGGACGAGTCATCGCCAGGCCTCCCACTCCCACCAGATCCCTCCTCTGCCGACGTGCCCTTCATAGGCACCTGTTGCTACTGCTGTGCCTGTGGTTGCTCCTGCTGGCTGGCATCTCCTCTGTTGTCGGGGCTGTTGCTGTCTGCCGTCGGGCTGCCGATAGGGAGCTCCTCGGAGTTGGCTTCCGTGGACATGAGCGCTCAGGCGGCTGTCTATCTGCATCAGTCAAAGCCAAAACAGACACCACATGGACACAAGAGGTGCATGATGAGCCATCGCCTCCCAGACCGACGCACTCACTGTGAATCAATTGTCGTGGAGCAAAGCGGAAGACCTTTCTGACATCATGTCAGAAAGCAAGCACCGCCACCAAATAAGAGCCCAAACTCGCCATCTCTCGTGGCTCATTCATCGCACCGGAATGCGAGCTTTGTGCTGTGAAGCGAAATACAGCTTTTTGAGGAGCCTTTGTGGTTCAAAGTGGAGGCAACCCCACCCACTGCGTGAAGCAGTCGGCAGGTGAATCAGTTGTGTGCTGTCACTTGTCGGCGGCCAACTGCATGTGTACAGCGAGGGCAGCCCATGCGTCCGCCACAGTGTGCGGATGCTGCTGCTCCGATAGACGTGGCAGGTTCATCCCACCACTGTGCGCCGATAGATGTTCACGTAACGTAAGTCAGCGACGACCGTTCCTATGTATGTACAGAGAGAGATCTGATAGAGAGGCAGGCACGGGCTACACAGACAGACAGACAGACAGACAGGCATGGAGGAAAGAGGCCACACAAGACGACGTGCATGGTACTTGGGTGGATGCGGACACTGCAGCACTGAGTCATTCAATCAATGCCATTCTGCGTATTGAAGTATGTATGTACACACGCGTGGATGCATCAACCACCCACACAAGGAGAAGGACACACGGGCATGCATAACACATGCAATGGAATGCGATGCAATGTCATGCGATGAATGAAGGGGGGGGGGGGG